CCAGGCTAAGCAAGCCTTCACACCTATCCCTGTTCCTGAGTCTTCTACCAGGGCCCCGTCTGTGTTACCAGAGACCCAGACTGAGGTGGTGGAACTGGACCCCATGCAACGACTGCAACAGCAGTAGTGAATCCAGTCCCAGAGACCCAACCAGAACCAGTCCCAGAACCATTGCCAGCACTGAATCCAGCGTTTGCAACCCCATCTGCAACTCCAATGCCAGAGGGCACCACCGAGCCTGCGCTGGCAGCAGCAGCTAAACCTGCGCAAGAGGCTCAGCTGGAACCTAAAATACAACCTAGTGCAGAAGCGGAGAGCAGCTCACAGTCAACGGAAACAGCTCCATTACCTACATCGCTTCCAGAGGGACCAAGCCCAAGTCCACAATCCATTGAGGAACTGATGTCTCCAGCATCAAGGGAACAGTTCCAGGCAGAGCAGGAAGCAGATGAAAGCCTTAAGGGAGCTTGGACAGTGGCATGGAGCAACTCACCGCCTCTCAGCTCTTCTAATCGATCCCGGTTTGTTGTAGAAAGAGGGCTTTTATACAAGGAAACTCTTTCTGGTGGGCACCAGGAGAACTGGCATCCTCAAAGACAGTTGGTAGTTCCAACTAGACATAGGGAAAAGCTCTTGAGCTTATCCCATGATCATCCTAGTGGCCATGCTGGGGTGAACAGGACCCAAAACTGTTTGGGGAGGTCATTCCACTGGGAGGGAATGGGCAAGGATGTTTCAACTTATGTCCAGTCTTGACAGGTGTGGCAAAGAGTGGGAAAACCCCAAGAGCAGGTCAAGGCCCCTCTCCAGCCACTCCCCATAACTGAGGTTCCATTTCAGCGAGGGTGCTCCCTTTCGGGCTGCGAAATGCACCCGCCACCTTCCAGAAACTTATAGACAGTCTCCTAGCAGGATTGGGAGAATCTGCAGTTGCCTACCTTGACGATGTGGCCATATTTTCTGATTCATGGGCAGAACACCTGGAGCATCTACGAAAAGTCTTCAAATGCATAAGGGAGGCAGGACTAACTGTTAAGGCTAAAAAGTGTCAAATAGCCCTAAACAGAGTGACGTACCTTGGACACCAGGTGGTTCAAGGAACTATCAATCCCCTACAAGCCAAAGTGAATGCTATCCAAAAGTGGCCTGTCCCAAAGTCAAAGAAACAGGTCCAATCCTTCTTAGGCTTGGCCGGATATTACAGGCGATTTGTACCGCACTCCAGCCAAATCTCCGCCCCACTGACAGACCTGACCAAAAAGAAACAGCCAAATACAGTTCAGTGGACTAAAGAGTGTCAGAAGGTCTTTAACCAGCTTAAAGCGACACTCATGTCTGACCCTGTGCTAAGGGCCCCACACTTTGACAAACCTTTCCTAGTAACCACAGATGCATCCGAGCGTGGTATGGGAGCAGTCTTAATGCAGGAAGGACCGGATGAAGAATTCCATCCTGTCGTGTTTCTCAGCAAGAAACTGTCTGAGAGGGAAAGCCACTGGTCAATCACCCAAAAGGAATGTTACGCCATTGTGTACGCTCTGGAAAAGCTACGCCCATACGTTTGGGGACGGCGTTTCCACCTGCAAACTAACCATGCTGCGCTGAAGTGGCTTCATACCATCAAGGAAAATAATAAAAAACTTCTTTGGTGGAGTTTAGCTCTCCAAGGTTTTGATTTTGAAATACAACACATTTCAGGATCTTCTAACAAAGTGGCTGATGCACTCTCCCGTGAAAGTTTCCCAGAATCAACTGGTTAAAATCATCCTTAAAATGTGGAAAATGTTAGTTTTTATATAATCAGTAGTATGTCTAGAGGTGCATGTGTCTTATTAACTCTATTTTCTTCTAGAGCTCCAGGAAGAAATCACAGTCAGTGTGGAACAGGCTGTCCAGTACCGTCTGTGATTTGGGGGATATGTCATAAACATAAAGATACGGGTAGCATAAAATCCCCCCTTGCAGCTGTACTGAATCGCTGTAAGAATCTCAAATAACCTGGTTGGCACCTCACCAGAAGGACCAATAAGGAAAGAAGATCCTTTCAAATCTGCAAGGGGAGGTTTTTGTTTGTTCCCTCTCCAGATGGAGAGAAAGACCAGGCAGGTAAAACATCTCCTGAAACCCTACCTGAAATGATCCATCTAAGATTACAAAAATTTTAAGTATGGCAAGGAAATGTATTAGATTATCTTTTGTTTTAGCTTGTGAATTTTCCCTGTGATTAAAGGTAGTTTTATTCCTGTTTTTGTAACTGTGAAGTTGAGTCCAGAAGGGAGCCCTCTGTGTTTTAAATCTTTTTATTACCCTATAAAGTTATCTTCCATCTGGATTTTGCAGGTGTGATTCTTTTACTTTTTCTTTAAATAAAGTTCTTCCTTTAAGAACCTGATTGATTTTCAGTGTCCTAGAGACAAAGGGTCTGGTTGGTATTCACATTATTCTCAAGCCTCCCCGGGAAAGGGGGCAAAGGGGCTTTTGGGAATATTTGGGGGGAATAGTGACTCCAAGTGACCCTTTTCCTGAATTTTCGTGTAAATCACTTGGTAGTGGCAGCAACACCGTCCAAGGACAAGGAATTGTACCTTGGGGAAATTTTAACCTAAGCTGGTAAAATATAAGCTTAGGGGGTCTTTCATGCAGATCCCCACATCTGTATCCCAAAGTTCAGAGTGGAGAGGGAACCCTGATACTTGCTGTGTGGTCTTACACAAGTCACTTTACTTTTTTGCCTCAGTCTACCCATAAAATGAGGGTAATGATAGATATCACCTCATTTGGGTGTTGCAAGGCTTCATGGAGGAGTGTGACATGCTTTGAAATCCTGAGATGAAAAGCACTCTATAATAATATGTTGTATTGTATTGTAGCACACAGGAGCTATTGGACAAATTGCTAGTTTCATATTTTCCAAAGCCTTTACACTACCTGCAGTTACAGAAAGGTATAATTTGGTGCTTAACTAGATTATTTGTACAATATTTTCCCATGGACATTGTGACAAATGCCATGCTTTGGTAGCCTGGAATATTGAAAACTACTGTAGTGAGATGCAACAGATGCTATGGACACACGGGATATTCAAAGACTATCATATCAACTTCATAAATGTATGTATTTTTGTGGACTGGCTAGTGATTGCACTCCTGGCTAAATGAGGAAATTAAAACATTTTCTATAGGACCCAAAGTCACTTGCAAGGGGTGGGAGGAGAGAATGCAAATTCCTAGTGCCAGTAACAAGTGTGGGAAAGTTTTACTCGCCGGAGGCAATAATATATACTGGTTCGATCTGGCTAAAAATGTCAAACTGTATGAAGAAACAGCTTTGATCTGGAGAGGAGGGTCACTCATACACGATTCAAGAACTGACATAAAACTCTAACCAAGACAGACATACCCTGTGAAAAGGGCCTGAAGTATTCTGACCTTAATAATAATATATGGAGATATACCTATCTCATAGAGCTGGAAGGGACCTTGAAAGGTCATCGAGTCCAGCCCCCTGCCTTCACTAGCAGGACCAAGTACTGATTTTTGCCCCAGATCCCTAAGTGGCCCCCTCAAGGATTGAACTCACAACGCTGGGTTTAGCAGGCCAATGCTCAAGGGTCTCTATGAAGAAGATGGATGACTGTCTGGTAAGCCAAGACCTGCATATAAGCTTTTTATTGTTTTTAAGGTATGATTCATTGGTAATGCTTTTGTTCTGAATAGTACTTTGTTTTATAAAAGCAGGCAGTCACTGGTTAACCGCATCATTGCTCCTGAGAAAATAGGACTGCAGGTACTGAACTAAAGTCAGACCTGCTGAGGTAATCACAGTGAATCACAGGAGTCTTCAGTCTAACTCCCTGGTCTGTAGGGAGTGTATAGCAGGATCCCACCCTAAGATAAGTGATAGCTAAAGGATAGAGCCCTAAGTGTAGTCACCCAAGAAGATCATGAAGGGGTGCAGTTACTTTGGGGACCGTGACAGTCATTACTGGAAAAACTCTCATTATTCTAAAATGGTAATGCTACTGAAGATATTGGCTATTACCAAGATTTTCATGTTTAACAATAGCTCCAGCTTTTGTTCTACGGGACCTAATCATTTCCAGGAATTTCGAGATTTAGCATAGAAGGCTAGTTTTCCGCCTAATCTTCCTATTTCAGTGGCTGCAGCACCAACGTGCTCCTTAAACAGTGTCAAATTTTCCAAGCTCTTTCTTTGTTAACAGTTTAACTCTGACTCCTGTAAGTTTGACTATTCAGTTTCATCAAAAATAAGTCTACTACTCTTTTCAAAAGTCCTCGTTGATGGTATTGACGTCCAACCTCTGAGAAATTCTCTAGCATTTAGGGCCTGATCTATAGCCCACTAAAGTCAATGGGAGTCTTTCCAATGATGTCAAGGGACTATAAATCATGTGCTTAGAGATCTTCAATTCCATTCAAATGATAGTCTACTTGTCATACTGTGTAACTTCATTTTTTCCAGTTATACTAATTTATTTGTCCCTTCTGGATTCAGCTGCCCATTAAAGGAAGGTTGTTTCTCATTTCAAAACTAAACACACTACTGCCTTAAAAGTGAAACTCAATATGAGCAACACAGTGTGAAGTGCGGGAAGATCATAGGTTAAACTGTAGCATATTCAGATTTCTTCAGAAGAAAGCAACATACCTAATCTGTTACACAGTATTACAGCGGCAACTACTTCCTCTTCAAATTTGACATCTAAAGAAGATACCAAATCTAAAGCAATCTTTTTGCTAATGAAAACTCCAATCCCTCACTCACTGCTTCTACCAAGAACAAACTTGCTTCAGAACACAGTGATTATTTAAGAATTACAAATAATTGAATCAATTTAAATTTGGAGTACTTGAGTGGGAGGGAAGGGCTGTTTTTGCTTCATTTTGAAGAAAGTTTTTTCAGGAGATCATTCTGAGCATCTTGACTTGTGCAAAGAGGGGAAATTCTAAAGCTGAAAAAAGGACACATTTTTCCCTTACCTGAGATGCTCCAGCGAGGCAAGGCACTGAAACTGGCACATTAGACAACTGCTCCAAATGCTGTTCAGATGATCTCTGCACCTCCTGTCTTTGTCCATCGTGAACCACCGTACTCCTTCCGAGTTGCCCATAGTCTGCTCTACCCCACGTGAAGACCTTGCCAGTTTCTAAATACAAATACATAGTTATGGGTTATTTCTCCATTACAGCCAGATAATGTTTGGAACGCTAATTTCAAAACTAGAACAGCCGACTCTATGTACTGTTTACTGCCCCCTACCTAAAAGCTCAGAGAACACAACAGTGAAAAAGTGAGGAATCTACTTACTCTTTGGAGCATGAGGGGAGAAAAGGTATTAAAATGTAGCTGAGAAACTCATTGCAATTTACCCAAACTTCAGCATTTAGTTTTCAAACAGAAATGCCATGTCTGACGAGGCATGGATTGTACATGCAATTGTGCTGTATAGAATTTTCATACGTATTTGTTTTACAAATGAAACCTTTTTGTTTTGTTTTAAGAGAGACACACATAAAATAGCTAACATTAAATTCCAAGACATTTTTCTTCTGTCCCAGTATTTGGCACAGAGACATCCTGTGTCCCTGTATTTAACATAAGGTTTATGTCTTCTTCGGAGAAGATACCTTCTGCCACAAACTTCTGTTAGCTGCAGAATAATGGTTTCTTCTGCATGGTAACTGATGATGGGGGAATGGTGCCACAACATGCTCTGGGTGTCCCTAGCCGCTGATTGCCTGAAGCTGAGAGTGGACAACAGGGGATGGATCACCCAATGATTGCCTGTTCTGTTCATTCCCTCCGAAGCCACCTGGCATTGGCCACTGCTGGAAGACAAGATTCTGGGCCAGCAGGACCAGTGTGCCTTTAAGTGAAGTGTCTGGGGAAAATCTCAGCTCTGTGAGCAAAGGCTATTGCATATCTTTCCCACATCAAGAGGAAGGTAAACTTTATAATAATAATAATATATGGAGATATACGTATCTCATAGAACTGGAAGGGACCCCAAAAGGTCATCGAGTCCAGCCCCCTGCCTTCACTAGCAGGACCAAGTACTGATTTTGCCCCAGCTGTATGAATTTTCTGCATGAATTTTCACTAGTATATGTTTGCCTGGGCAAATTTATACACTTCATGCTAGGGAATTAAGCCTTCTTTCAAAAGAAGCTTGCCCTTGGAAAGTCTGTATCTGAGACAAAGATCAGTGTTGGATTGAGCTGTCACTGATTTGACCCTGTATTCAAGTTAACTGTTCCCTTGGTTTACATTTTAGCATAATACTCTGTACATATTTGATCTAAACCTTGGTACAGGTGCCATCACTTCTGTGACCTAAATGTTAGGTTAACTTGTATTTGTGGAAGAGGCCCCCTCAAGGATTGAACTCACAACCCTGGGTTTAGCAGGCCAATGCTCAAACCACTGAGATATCCCTCCCCACAGCTAACCCTCCCCTGTATTAATGACCTAACACAGTACAGATCCCTATGCAGTGCAAGACGGTATAAGTTTGGGTTTATACTCCAGCAAGGGTACAAGTTGGAGGAGCTGGGAAATTGGCTGTTGCCTCCTGCCTGTCTTTGAGTAGCTTAGGTAAAGCACTCAGGTAGCACAGTGTGGGTGTGTGGCGCCACCAGCTATCATGTTGGGTGATAACAGGGCCTGAAGAGGCTGGCTGGAATCACCAACAAAGCAATGTGAGTTAGACCAGCAAAGCTGGTGGATTAAGGGGCACAGCAGTTCCCACAGCTCCCAGACTGCACACCAGGGGAGACAACCCATCACAGTGGGTTTATAGTAAGCATGCTTGTCATGACTGAAACCTGTTTGCTTTTTCCTAAATAGACTGAAGGATGCAAGAAAGTTAACAGGGGCAAGTCCAGATCATATTAGATCATTCTAGGAAAAAATGTAAAGCCTGTTGGTAAGACAAAGAGAATCCCTACTGTACGGCTGTTTTGATACATACCTGAAACATTTTTAGCAAGTATATTTTTAAACATATGGTATATCCTAATAAACAATCTGATACTGAGGGCTAGTCTACACTAGAAAAGTTTTGCTGGTCTAGGTATACCAGCAAATCTATATGGGCAAACCCTCCTAGTGAAGACACAGGTTATACCGGCTTTTGCAAGTACAGCTTATACCCGTTCCCCCAAACAAAATCAGCTACACCAGCAAAAGCACTTTTTGTACAACTGCGTCTACAATAGGGCTTTTGCCGATATAAAAATCTCATTTAAAAAAAAACCCATCCCGAACCATTATTATACTGGTAAAAACTTTAAGTATAGACCTGGATTTAGGCTCTGATCCTACAATTGACAGTACACAGGTGGACTACTGTTCCCCATGCAGAGTCCCATTCACTGTAATGGGGCTAAGCAAGGGCAGAGCCTTTCACCCACATGCTATTACCTGCAGGACTGGTCGCAAATGCCCTGATTCTACAAACACACACCTGCTTAAACTCTGCTACTGCGAGTAGCGTCAACGAGACTTAAGCAGAGATGTGTTTGCAGGAATGTTGGCCATAGAGAGGAAGAACAACAACAATATTTAGTTCTTAGAAAGTGCTTTTTATCCACAGATCTCACTGTGCTTTACAAAGCAGAGAAAGTAGGACTAGCTCTGTCTAAACATCTGGTTACTTTTATGTGAGGCTAAGATTATGTGCAGGGCCGGCTCCAGGCACCAGCTTGTCAAGCAAATGCTTGGGGCAGCTGCTCCAGAGAGGGGCAGCACGTCCAGGTATTCGGCGGCAATTCGGTGGACAGTCCCTCACTCCACCTGGGAGCGAAGGACCTCCCGCCGAATTGCCGCTGCAGATCGCGATCGCAGCTTTTTGTTTGTTTGTTTTGTTTTGGTTGCTTGGGGCGGCCAAAACCCTGGAGCCGGCCCTGATTATGTGACAGAGGTCACAGAATCCATGACTTCCAGAGACCTCCATGACATTTTCTGCTTCAGTTGCAGCAAGTGACAGGTGGGTCCCGCAGTTCCCAGCCACCATGGGCAGCAGGGAGGACCCCAGCACTCTCAGCTGCCCTAGCCAGCAGCGGGGGGACCCCAGAGCTGCAGCAGCAGTGAGTGCTGGACACCCCTTCTTCACCACTTTGTCACACTTAATTTTAGTAAAAGTCAGGGGCAGGTCATGGGCTTCCATGAATTTTTGTTTATTGCCAGTGACCTGTCTGTGACTTTTACTAAAAATAACCATGACAAAATCTTAGCCTTATTTATATGACCCACATCACCATAATATCTAAGCATGACAGAATATTTAAAAATACAAATTGGAACAACAACAATTCCTTCTCTCATTCCCACCTGTAGGGGAAACAGCTTGATTAGTTTACAGGGGGTTATTTGTGTGAGTGTGTGCAGAACTTATTAAAGGAAAACTAAGTCAACCAAACTAGTTCTGCATTTACAGGAAGATTTTCAAAGGCACAAAAGTCAGTTAGGCACCCAATTCTCTTCATCTTAGTTCTGAAAGTGGTTAATTCTAAGTCAGTCTTATCTTTTATGGGAATGAGTTCCATAGCCCCGCTTCAGAGCATCTTGGAAACATCCCAGATCTGGCCACTGGCACCAACTGGATCTTATCATCACAAGGCGTACCAACCTTAACACTGTCCTCTTTACCACAGTTATCAAAGTGCTGATTGTGACACAGACCACTCTCTGCTATGCAGTAAGACTTAAACCAAAGAAAATACATAGATCTAAAGTAAAAGGATGCCCTTGTACCAACATCAGTGCCATTGCGGACTAAGAAAAGTCACAGCAGTACAAGAACATACTACAACAAGACCTTGACTCCAGTGATTGTGCCACAAGCGCCCAGCTGAAGTGGGAGCAACTGAAGAACACAATCTACAATACAGCTGTCTGTCTGTCTTTGGGAAGAAGGAAAACAAGACCAATGACTGGCTTGGCACATATCCCAATGTGTTAACACCAGTCTTGGAAGCCAAACGCACAGCCCAAATCAACTACAAGAGAGACCCAAATGAAAAAACCTTACAAGCGCTGAGAATGGCAAGAACCAAGGTACAACTAACTGTTCGACGCTGCACCAATTACTATAGGCTGCACTTATGCAAAAGCAACCAAGTAGAAGCTGATGCAGGCAATCTCAGAAACATGCATGATGGGATCAAGAAAGCCTTGGGTCCAACTTCAAAGAAGACAGCCCCATTGAAATCAACAACAGGGGAAACAATCAATGACTATACCAAGCAGATGTATCACTGGGTAGAACACTACTCTGAGCTTTACTCTCGTGAAAATATTGTTACAGATGCAGCCATCAACGCCATCGAAAGTTTGCCTATTATGAACCAACTCAACGATGAACCAACTGTCGAGGAGCTTAGCCTTGCCACAGATGGCCTCCCCAATGAAAAGACCCCTGGAAAAGACTGCATATTGTCAGAAGTCATAAAATGCGGAAAATCTATTCTACTGCAACATCTTCATGAGTTGCTCTGCCTGTGCTGGAAAAAAGGTGAAATACCACAAGAAATGAGAGATGCCAACATCATCACTCTCTATAAAAACAAGGGTGACAGGACCGACTGTAACAACTATCATGGCATTTCCCTCCTTAGTATTATGGGGAAAGCCTTTGCCCGAGTTGTCCTGAACAGACTTCAGACCCTTGCAGACAGAATCTATTCTGAATCACAATATGGCTTCAGAGCTGAAAGGCCTACTATCTACATGATCTTCTCACTGAGAAAACTGCAAGAGACATGCAGAGAACAAAAAAAGCCCCTCTACTTAGCCTTCATCAACCTCACAAAGGCTTTTGATCTTGTCAGTAGAAGCAGACTATTTGTGCTTTGATGTCTCTCCCCTCCCCCCAAGCTCTTAAGCACGATTCGATCCTTCCATGAAAATATGTATGGCACAGTTCAATACAACGGCTCAGTCTCTGAAGCTTTCTAGATTCGTAGCGGAATTAAGCAAGGCTGTGTACTTGCCCCAACTCTGTTTAGGGTCATCTTCTCTTGGCTACTGAAACTAGCTTTTGGTTTCTCAACTGAGGGAACCTACTTGCACACAAGATCTGATGGAAAGTTATTCAGTCTTGCAAGACTCAGATCTAAAACCAAGACTCAGGAGGCCCTTATCCAA